AAGGCAAAAAAAAAAGTAGAAGAATTGTGCCTTTGAGGGAGATATATCAAGAAAAACAATAGAGATCCTCAACCCTAGACATTAACATCATTAAGACATCTCTGCTGGGAAGAAGAGAGAGAGATGAAAGGGATGGGAAGAGAGAGCAGAGATCCTATGTCATGTTTATGGGGCAGCACTCAGAGAAATCTGGAGTATTAAGATTAGAGTCCTTGAAGCTAGATTCTATGAAGAAGCCTAGAGAGGCAGGAAGATCCCCAAGAGTAATAGCCCACATTGTGCATCTAGGCACTGAATCCAGAGTCTCCTTTGCCTTCCCATGGCATGAAGGTATCAGCCATTTTCCTAAAGAGGCCAGGAGGACAGGAGAAAAGGCAATTTCATTTGCGATCCATGTGGATCAGATAAGAGACACGTAAGTGGTCTGATGACCCAGGGATCAGAATGTCAGTTCCTTTTGCCATAATAAAGACCACTTGAAATTACAGGAAAATAAGATTAACATTTGTGCCAAACCAATGTAATGAAGATTAGAAATTTTCAAAAAAAAAAAGAAAGGAAAAAACAATGAAAGCTGTATTTCCAGTACACACGAGTTAATGGCAGAAGAGCCATACCTGATGCAGTAATGATTACTCTAGATTTACATAAATATCACTTACAAAACCTAATAATTATTGCTTAATTGCAAACTTTAATTTATTTTTGGTATTGTATATAAAGACCTTTCATTATTTACTTATTTTTTCAAAAATCAAGAGTTCGATACAATAATAAGTTCGATAAAAAATTTATAATGTAATAACCCAAAGTATTATACAACATTGAAAATAAAGAATAATGTAGATTAATGTGATTGTGTACATGTGTGTGTGTTTAGAAGCAAGACCCTATATGAAAGCCTAAAGTACACAAAAACTTCTCCCCATGAAATCATTTGCATTCATTTCCTTGAAAAAAAATACCTAATGAAAACATTTACTGTGGAAATCAGCAGTAGTTTTCAATGATTTCTTTAAAAAATGAAAACCGCATTTGAAAAAATAGGAATCCACACAGGTACAATGCACATTACTTAGTAATGCTACTGATAATACTGACATTCATGGTTTCTACTTCATTTGCTATAAAATCCCGGCTCTTCAAGAATTATCAGACCACACTCCATTGAATCCAAAGGAAATAGTTGAGAACAAAATAGCAAGATTATTGCTGTTGATGATTACTGCATCAATTCCACTATACTTCACAAATTCCTCCATTAATTATAAAAATGTGACTGCAACATTTCAAGACAATATATCATAATACTATCCTAATATGAATTAGCATTCAGTTTGAATCTCTTACTATTTCTAGGTTATTCTAATTAATTCTGCTCTAGACATTCACAAAGGAGCTTAAAATTTTATGTCCCATTAAATGTCAAGGGAACTGTTAGCCTCTAGGGACTCTCGGAGTTCCTCATTTCCCTACTTTCTCTTCTCCTTCCTTCCCAATGATAAATAAGGACATTGTCACCACCAAAGAGCACTGTTCCTTTAGGTTTAAATACATTCCATTGATCATTATCCTTGTAAGTGAAGTCACTGTATTTGGTGGAATACTGGAGTATGCAAGGTTGTGTTGTTTCTTGGGTCTCTTGTTCCATCCGATTAGATTAGTAAAAAACTCTGGAGACTTTTCCAAGTATGTTTGAATGGCTTTTTGTTTATTTGGTTTTTGTTTGTTTGTTTGTTTGTTTGTTTTGTTTTGCCCTGGTTTAAAACCACTTCAATCTTTTCCCATTGGACAGCAGGCCGGGTGCCATTGCCCAGGTCTGAGAAGCATTTGATAAGCAGATAGACATACTGGATAAAGTTCTGGCCTAGGGCACCCTAGATTAACCTACTTTAAAAGCTAGGCAAAATACTCTCTCTTTCTCCTTGTCTGTGATTGGAAAACTCAAAGGTAGGCTTTGTAAATTGTAGGTTTAGGAGAAAGCAGAGCAGATTGGTATAATTCTTTGTAGCCCCCCAAAACACAAAAACAAAAACAAAAAACTACTTGTCTGTCTGTGTCCATTTGGTCTTGATGAACTCACCAACCATCAAAACCATCCATAACATGCTAATCTGATCTCACGTTTATTTATTTTGTTTTCCTTGAACATAAATTTCCATTAGGAACCTTACAAGGAATGGCTGCTATACTGTGTTATGGTCTGACTAGAGTATTTTCTGGCAAATAAGCAAATAGACAAACAAAAAAATGAAATTAAATATTAACACATGATTATTTTTTACAATAAATTTCCCATAATACCTTCATATATTTGCCCTGAATTTAGAATTTACTATTTCTAATAACTAAGCTATAAAAGATAAACCATGTTTATATTAAAATACATATTTAAATGAGCCTTTGCACTTAATCCTAAATTTTACTTTTCTCCAAATATGTTTTCTAGTAATGTATTATTTCTCATGAAGGTCAACAAACTTTTCCATTTTTGTGCCTGCAATTGCTGTTATAATAGTGAAGATATATGTATCATGATTTTACAATTTTTTTTTCTGTTCCTAGATGTTTCTTGGCTGGCCCTTGTGGACCACAGTCACATAATTCTATGGCAAAGAAAATATGTAAGTATCCTTTTATTCATATATGAAGTAAACTCAAAAAGCCACTTTTGCTTTCTTGTTGAATATGTTTAAATGTCCAATTCAATTAATTAACTAGAAAATTACCCAGATGTTCATTAGTTTTTGAAACCCATTGATTTAACTCAATGCATCCTGATATTTTTTTCATAAGCATTTAAAATATTTCATTATTCTGGCTAGAAAATATTCATGAAATGTTGTCTTAGGCTTATTAATTGTAAATATTCCACACAGAATTATACATATTGCAATGGCTTTCAAGATATCTCTTTAAATTAACTCTGGTAAACTCTATAGACAAGTTCCGAAACAATATTTGCAAGTATGTTTAAAATGGTGTCTTTTTGTCTTGGTTTTGTCTGAGTCCCAAAACAATATTTGCAAGTATGTTTAAAATGGTGTCTTTTTGTCTTGGTTTTGTCTGAGTCCCAAAGACATGAGGAGCATATTACTCCCACCTACTTGCAGAAGAGAGAAGAGATGATGAAGAATCAGTTGTGAGACTCTTTCCTTCACTCCAATAAGAGATATTTTAAAATTAGAGATGGGGAAGTTGGAGACTAAGAAAGCAATGAAAATGGAAGGCATTGTGAATTCTATCTACTCTGACGTCTTTACACAAGTTTAGAAAGGGTTCACTCACTGGCACCATTTAGATTTAGTGGTGCTTAGACTGATCAAAGCCATGAAATCTAAAGAGAATAGTAGGCATCTCTCCCAAATTCAGTGTGATAAGAAATTGCCTCTTTGAGTTTGACCTGCCCTTCTGGATATGTGATGTGAAAAGATGCACTTGTTTTCCATATGTGACCAAGGTATAGGATGTGAAACAGCAAAAGCTAGAGCTGACACGGAGTTTACTTAGATCTTCCTGAAAGATTGCCTGAAATAGGGAAAAACCTCAGCAGAAAAAAGATACAAACGTAACTTCAGATGCATTGTATTTGTCAATGAGAAGAAATTTGCAAAGTTGGGGATATAGATGGGGAGTGGGAGAAGGCATACCTTCAAAAGATCTGCTTCCTCCTTAGACAAAAAGAAATAGTTTAAAATGTTGGAAGTCAAAGAACACAAATGTTGTATTACTATGACAGAACTGGTTAAGAAAGCCCTTTTATGCTTTTTACCTACTCTTTATATTTCTACTTCAACCATAGAAATGTCAGAGGCACTTTAATGTCAGAAGCAATAGGAGCAAAATAGCTAGGAAATTAGGAAAAAGTCATCTTATCCCAAATTCCCACTGCAGGCAACCAGTTTAGAGCATGTTCGAGATGAGTTATTTTATTTTATTTTTTTTGCTGTGTCTAGTTTCAATGCATTATTATTGCCATTATTATTAATTTTAGAGCAGTTTTAGGTTCATAGCAAAATTGAGAGAAAGGTACAGAGATTTCCTTATATTTCTCCTGCCCCCAACACATGTGTAGCCTCATCCACTACCAACATCTCCCACCAGGAAACAATTTTTAATTTAAATAAATTAGAAATTATTATTATTACACTGGATTGATCATAACAATTATCGAACATATAAGGTTTTATACTTATTTAATAAAGTAAAGTAATCGGTTATTTTTTTTAGCAAAAGCATGACCAAAGATGTAGGACTCGCCCAAGATGTCCTCCAAAAGCCAAGGAAGAAGTACTGCCACAAGGATTTCGGAATAGGCAATAATTTCTGAGGCGGGGTGTGGGTCTATGGTGAATAAAGGTTTTACCCAAATACATCCCATTAAATGTACCAGCAAAAACCCAAATTATGCAGAATCCAAACAGACAAAATACCAAAATACCAACTTGAAAATTTTTATCTCCCCCCTTCACACATTTTTAATCAACATATAATCTTTTTTAGGATAAGTTTCCACTAAAAATCAGAAAACCTGCTAGACAAATTCTAAAATTGCTGTAGCACTCTTTTATTTATTTTATAAAATATTCATTGGAAAATAAAAATTCACAGGACAATTGTATATATAAACATATCTATATTTTCCTTAATTGATTCTATTCTACTTAACTGTATTTTATCAGTTCTAAAAGGTGAGCCTTCATATTGTAACATCTTTGACATCAGGATACCTTGATACAAATGGCTTCTTTCAGTTATATTTGTAGCATTTTTTTTTCCTTTTTTCATTGTTCATAAAATAAAGACTCATCTTCCAATTTAATAGCCAATAACATATCAAGGACATTAGACTGTATATTTCAAAGCATATAACAACAACAATAGAGCCAGCAAAAAAGAACCAAATGTCCCCTGTACCTGCACTGTCGGATTACTGTTTAAAGCTCAAGCTCACAACAAAACCAGAACTCTAAGCAGTCCAAGTACTGAAGGGGACTCACCAGAGTTGGGGTCAGAGTTGCCATCTGCTTCGGTCCTCTTGTCCGGGGAGGCCTGGTCATAGAATTCGTCCTGTGGCTGAACCAGAGGAAGAGGGTGTGAGATCAGGGTTCCACTACCCACCGGCTCGTGGTCTCCTAGACCACTGTCACTGCAGCTTTCCTGGGAGCCATCGGGCAGGTGAAACGTAACACGGCGCTGCGACTACAAAGAAGACCACAGGACATGCCAGTTAACACTCCTCCCCAAAACAATGGAGTAGCGGAACACAAAATCAAAAAAACTTTCAACAAGTGACACAATGTAAAAGCAAAATAAATGAAACTAGGAGCAAAGCTAAGAACAAACATTCATTTTTTACTATATACTATGTAATGTCCAATCAGCAAAATATCAAGAATTTCAATCTTGTATAATTTAATCTTGTATAGCAAGAAAGGCAAGAAAAACAAAACAACACAACAAAAAAATCACATTATACTAGTCAACAAAACTATAGAAAAATTTAAATAAGAAACATGCAGATATATTTTTCATAGAGCTGAAAAAATACATAGATAATGTGACAATCTGTTTCTTTTAAACGATGAAACACGGGTTTACTTGACGTTTTTAGGGTAATTTTTGCAATCAATATATTTCAAACACTACTGCCTGCTATTTTATTTTTAATGGATAATTTATATACATGAGCGTCTTTAAAGCAATACTGGAACAGTAAACTAAAATTATTATTTTAAGAGTCTCGTGGTACACTGAGCTAGCTGTATTAAAATTCTTATTTTAAATAAACAAGTTCTATGCAATTGCTATTGATATACATGAAAAAAGACTATATTTTAATACACATTAAATTAGTAGATCATTCTTACCCATTGCCCCAGATATTTACTACCAGTCTTTAATCAGAATGGCAGAAGGATAGAATAATATTCTACTAATAGTAGATAGAACATAGTAATTGAAAGGTGTTTGGAATATGACTTTGGCATCTACTTGCACAGTCATTCTCAGAAGTGACCTAAAGTATATATATAGTTACTTCAATAAAATTTAATGTTTTAATAAAAATAAAATTGTGCATTTCTTTTAGCACAGATTGTTTTAGTTCTCTTGGTAAATATTCTTTTTGCTGATATAATCCATGAATTATGAATATATTTATAGTCGTGGTGCTGAGATTTAGGCATTAGGGAATTGTATGAGAGTAATAAATTTGCACTATATGACTGAACCTAATTTTCTTTTGTTTTACAGCAAAAGACCTTTGAATATCATGTCACATATGACTACATTTTTTTAGATTTAATAAAATGATGAATATATAAATAAGAAAATATATAATATATAACTGCGATTAATAATATAATAATTTTCTGGTATCTGAAACTTGTGTTTTTCAAGAGACAATTTATAAAAAAGTTTTTTTTTAAAAGTTTGCAGTTAAAAAGAAAATGCTATAGATAGATATACTGCAACTCTAGAAATCATTTTTATAGACTCACAACAGAATAGAACCTATTTTCTATAAGTCACTGGTTCAAATCCAGCCCAGATTCATAATGGAGAAGAGCTGATAGCACTTTATTGCAGTTCAATGACCTTTGTAAAATTAGTTGATAGTTCAGTACATTTTTAATGAACTGATGCCAATGTCACATAAACTATAATCATAAATGGTATTAATTGCCTCTATCACAGCATATTTCACCTTCATGCATATCTGTCTCATAGATATCATTCCCTTCTCAAGGGTTTGAAAAGTGCCTAGGTGAGTGCCACACAAGAGGCAAGCCAAAGTTGAATATTAATATTTGAAATTGATTTTTTCTTGTATAAGGAAGCTCATATTACCATTTTTATTTATTACAGTGATTCCTCTCTCCTATGCATTTAATCTTCTAGGGAAAACCGATAATATAAGTATTTTTAGTTTATATTATAATATGCCCTTAAAATATCAGAATCTTTTTATGATAAAGACACTGTGAAGGACCACACTGCCTGTTACACATGACTGTCAAGCAAACATAGCTTAAAGCGATTTTTTTTATTTCAATAAATTTAGGAGGTATAAGAGGAGTTTGATTACATAGATATGGTTTATAGTCATGAAGTCTGGGCTTTAGGTGTACTTGCCACCTGAATGGTGTACATTGTACCCAATAGGTAGTTTTTCATCCCTCACCTCCTCATAGCCTCCCTATTTCTGAGTCTCCAATTGATTTACTAAAAAGTCCATGGATTTTAAATATGTTTGGTATTATCTCTAGAGATATCTCTAAAGATAAAAAGAAATCAAGACATAAGAGAAAGATGATGAAATGGATGATTATGAAATCTTTATAAAACATTTCTGTAAGTCTCATAAGCCAACGAGTAAGATGTGCAACATTTGGGGGATGGACATGTTTGAAGCACTCGAGGGGGGAGGGGGGCATGGGCAATATATGTAACCTTAACACTTGTACCCCCATAATACGCTAAAATTAAAATAAAAATAAAATAAAATTGCTGATTAAAGGCCATGAATATTTTAAACGACTATTCATTCACAATTCATATTACCAAACTAGGTTACAAAGTGGTTATAACAATTCATACCACTTCCAGGAGTGCTCAAGAACACCAATTGTATCACTTCTTTACTATCATTTAGCATTATCAGTTTTTTCTTTAATAGATGAAAAGTAGAACTGTGTTGCTTTAATCTGAATTAATAGTGAGATTGAATATTATTTTTGGTCATTGAACATTATTGTTGAACATATATGCTGGTCATTAGTTGCATTTTATCTTTTGTGAATTATGTCTCCACATCCTTTGCCCTCTGACTTATTAAGCATTTTTAAATTGTTTTGTGTGAGTTCTTCTATGTAACATAGACATTAACCCTTTGTATTGGCAGTAAATGAATCCTCTTTTTTAGAAAAGGAAAAAAAAAGAAAAAAATATATGTTTCATAAACTGAAGAAAAAGGAAAAAAATTACATCTGTGATGTAATTTCAAAACATAATTTCGAAACATAATTAATGTTGCTTTAATTAGAACACTTTTTTCTCCTAAGAAATGTCCAAAGATGCAATGCCAGTTATGCCTCAATCCAACAGTTCTTAAGGTGTGTTCATTACAATTATTTATTGAGCATCTACTATAAGCCTGGTACAATGATTATACTGAAAATAAAAAGTAGAACATTTTTTTTTCCAAAATTATTTCAAATATTGCTTATTAGACTCCATCTCACATAAATAATACTATGCTATTTCTTTAATGTTTTATACTTGAGAATAAGAAAAGGTATAAATTTACTGAAATTTATTTGCAATGTGGTGCTATACGTTCAAGTGATACAATGTTTAAACTACTGTGGTTTATGAAAATATTTCTGAATTAATTTGACTCAAAGATGTTTAAGTTTTAATTGACAGAATTTTTCACAATTTATCAGTCTGATGGGAAGTGGGGTTAGTGATGCATATAGACTAAGAATTGGTATGTGGATATTATGGTATGAAGCAAATTGATCAAACAAATTCATCTTTAATTTATCATCTTAATGGTTGATGCCAATAGAAGAATATCTGAACTATCAAGGTAGATGAAAGGAGAGAACCAGACTAAACTGAAATTCACAGGAGTGAAGAACAGTGAACTGTTAGGAAACAAGAGATCTGGGTGTCTTTAAGGGCTCAAAAGTACTTCTCAGGTTGAGCTGTAGAGTACCAAGTGAGAAGCAGAACCAGACTTTCTGGCTTGGAGCCCTTTTTCTGCAGAGGCTGGCCCAGGGAAAGGTACTTTATCTATTTGAATGAATTCCTGGCTTTGAAAAATGGAGAAAATAATACCTTTCCCATAGGAATTGTTGTACAGCTAAAAATAGATAAATCATTCCTGTTATGTAGTACTTGACACATAATAGGTACTCAATAAAAGGGAGCTATAATCCTTGAAATTTAAAGCTACACATTTTTTTAACCTCTAGGTCTATCGACATTTGGCTGGTTTTAAAGATGTGATTCCTTCACCCCAGAAAGAAAACATATTGTTCTTTCACAAGAGAAATGCATGAACCACAGAATCCTGTGTCTCACAATGTGCCCCTGTAGATCTTGTCAGCTCCAGGACTTCCCTTGAGGTGAAGCTGCTCTTAAGTGAAAGTGAAGGATGGAGAAGGTGAACAGCCTAGAATACACGGTTTCTCCTTGGAGAAAGTAAAGAGGGAGAAGTGTTTACTTACTACCTCTGAGAATTTTTGTGTCTTGGCTGATCTTCATGGAAATAAGCCCGAACCGGGTTATAAATGTAGTAAAACCCTGCCTGGCTGAAGTGGGACAACACCTATAATCATATAATCAGCCTCCCCAGAGTGTGGCACTTAACATTTTCTTTTCCTAAATCTATTTCTTACTCATTCAATTTTCTGCTGAGGGAAATATTATTATTATTATTGCCTCTGTCTGATTAATGGGTTTCCATGTCACATTTGTTTACCTGATTTATCACTGACAGGTTATATCTAGATCCCTGTCTGTCCTGAGAAAAAATAAGATGAAAAATGTAACTACCAAGGCTGCGTTATGCTATTTTCTGTCAGGGCTGCTGATGTGAATTCTGACCAAAGTTTTCATTAGAGATTCTACTCTACACAAACTCAAACTGCCTGGACATATGGGTGTGTTTGTGATCCTGCAAACCAGAATGTCCCGCACTGGTTGGATTTGAGAAACATCCCCAAAGAACCTCCACAATATTTTTTTTTCTTACAGTTTAGTAGAAACGCAAATGAGGTCAAATTCAAGATGCTTAGAGAAGATGCACATGGTGTTGCACTGAGCACTTTCTTTTAAGAGTTACTAAGAGAATGAGTCACCTAAGAAATCCAATCATTGCTTGAATGTTTCTCTTGTGCATGACTCACATGCAAGCCTACAGTTGCAGTCTCGTCAGTCTAGAAGAATTTCCATGTGCAAAGATATATTGTTATATTGTTTATTTGCATAAAATAGCAAAAAGGTAAGAACAAAGTGGAATGCCTAATAGATGATTAGTATGTAATATCATACAATCCAATTTTTATGCAATACCTACAATTACGTTAATTAATATTTATTGACATGGAAAAATATATACTGTATTGTAAAAGTCAAGTCAGTAAATATTTTGCTATGTTGAATTGCATTTGTGTTAATGTGTCTTGGTG